AAGCCGAAGCTTATATACCCTTGCAGATCATTCTATTAATTTACAAATCGCAAAAATGTTAAATTTCCTATTATTTCACATTAATTATACCCTTGTAGAGGGTATTATAATTTCAGTTTGCAACGCAGTGAAGGAGACGTTTCCGACCACATAAAGTATATATATTCTTGATCAGCATCACTAGACGAGTCGATCTAGCCATGTCCGTCTGTCCGTCTGTCCGTCTGTCCGTCTGTCCGTTTCTATGCGAACTAGTCTCTCAGTTTTAAAGATATCGCGATGAAACTTTCCCGAAAGTCTTCTTTCTATTGCAGGTAGTAAATATGTCGGAGCGAGCCGAATCGGACCACTATATCTTAAGGCTCCCATAGGAATATTCAAAGATATATAAGAAAATTCATTGTTACTTTGTAGGAAGTAGGCATTTTAATTCTTGACTCTTTAAAAACAAAATTCAAAAATAGAAACGCTGAATCTGGAATCCCTGGAACTGCACCGAGTGAGCATTACTTTATCTGCAAGGGTATATAAGCTTCGGCTGGCCGAAGGTAGCTTCCTTTCTTGTTTTTTGATCGTTTCTTTGGGAGCTATATGAAATAGTAGTTCGATCTTTTTAAAATTAAAACCAAAAAGAATACACTAAAAAACAACGAAGCAATAATTTTTTTCCTATTAATTTGCATTTAATTTTCCGACCGTTCCTATGGCAGCTATATGATGTAGTGTCCCGATTTTTTCCAAATTTTTTTCGAAATTCCTAAATATTAAAAAAATCCCAAGAGAAGAAGTTCATATTTCAAAAAACACAAAAGCTAGAATTTGTTAAAGTTTTTTTTCCGATCCTTCCTATGGGAGCTATAAGATATAGTTGTCCGATCCGCTCGGTTCCGACATATCTACTACCTGCAATAGAAAGAAGACTTTTGGGAAAGTTTTATGCCGATACCTCAAAAACTGAAAGACTAGTTTGCTTAGAAACAGACAGACAGACAGACGGATCGACTCGTCTAGTGATGCTGATCAAGAATACTTTATGGGGTCGGAAACGTCTCATTCACTGCGTTGCAAACTTCTGACTGAAATCATAATACCCTGCAAGGGTATAAAGATGAAAAAAAAATTATTAATTTTTCGTAAACAAAAAAGGAAAGAAAACAAAAGAGAAAAAAACATTATAAATATTTCCTAAAAAAAGAGAAAACAAAACAAAAATATAAATATAACATTATAAGTATTTCCTAAACAAAAACGAGAAAACAAAACAAATAAGACAAAAATATAAATATTCATATTTATATTAAGTATTTAATATATTATTATTAAAATTTACTTACTTACTGCCAAATTATCAACAATACCTGAAATTTAAATTATTCCTACCAAATTTATATTTCAATTTAATTCAATTGCTTACCTATAAAGCGCAAGCAATTCTCTCGCGAGAGACTGCATTTCCAAAACAACAACGCAATAAAAGTTACAGCTTTCTTTCGTTTCGAAGAAAGAATGAGAAACATAAAAGAAATAAAAAAAAGTTTTTTTTAAATCGATAGTGATTCTCTAATTCTACTTTTCTGTTTTAGAAAACAGTTTCTAAAATTCAGAAAATTTTCTAAAATTAAAAAAATTTTAATTTTATGCCATTTTTTAAAAATTAAGGAAAAAACATTTTTTAAGTGTAGGTTGTTTTTCTGGATTTACAGACGAATTGACCTAAAATCTGCAAAATGCCCCCCATCATTGTAGGCCCATTTTTCATAAATTAATCCCCTAATAAAAATACTATTTCATTATATTTTTTGTTTTTATATTTATACCCGTTAGTCGTAGAGTAAAAGGGTATATTGTATTCGTGCAAAAGTATGTAACAGGAAGAGGGAAGCGTTTTCGACCCTAAAAAGTATCAAATAAAAACAACTCTTGCCTGGAAAAGGACACTTTAATATCAAATAGAATAAAATTTTACTTATCACAAAGTCATGGTTTTGTAATGGAATATTTAAGCCTGTACGTAACTACTTTTTCTTCCACAATAAACAATTATACATAAAAGGACACTTTTGGAAAAAAATTGGATAAAAGTTGCCACCAGAAGTGGGCTCAATCAAAGGACTTTCTTCATAAATTCATACAAAATGTTCGAAAATAAGCATTATTTGGTTCAGGAAACCATTGAAACCAGCTTAAATCACATCCTAAGTTGCTTGACACTAATCCTTTTGGGAATGGCTTGGACTTTCTCCAAAGAAGGATTCGCATGGATGAGATATTTTGAAAGAAATTCTTAAAATGAGCCAGTGGGCCAAAGTGGGGTGTAGCGACTCCTGTAATATGGCCAGAACCATGAAATTTGGCTTGGAAGTCCTGTCTAGGTCTGCAGAGGGACGCTCAATAAAAACAAATGTTAAAAGTCAAAGGGCTACATAAAAAAACGTATTTACTAAAAATGTACGAATAATTTTTTGTGCTATGAAACAAGACTTTTTCTTTAACTTAATTAATAATACTATGAGGTTTATGATATCGATTTCTTTTTTTTTTGTAATATGTTTAGAAAAGTTTTGTTTTTAATGTCTTATTTTTTGTTTTTGTTTTTACGGTATATTTTAAGAATTGTTGGATTTCAAAGTCGAAAGAGACAAAGTGACAGGTTTGGGCACTGTTTGTGAATTGTCACTGTGAAGGAAGTAAGAAAAACAATTTTAAAAATTCCAAAACAATTCACAAAAACCTGATGAGTGTCCTAAAAATTAAGGACATAAGGTGACTTTGGACCAAAAATGCATCGTAGAAGAAAATATTTTTATTTAATTGGTAAACGCTGTTCACAAATGAAGATTTTTAAACTTTGCTGTGACTTTAAAATTTTGAATGCGCCCACCTCCTCGTGCGGTTAAGATAGATTGAATTTTCCAAAACGACCGTATAAAAGAGACATGTAACTATTTAATTCCGAAAAGATTACCAAAATTGGTTGACCACTCTTGAAGATATATCCCAAAAGACGAAGCAAATTTGTGATTTTCTTAAATTAAAGATACCGCAAATACCAGAGCTGATGGACTATAGGCGTAATGGAAACTTATACTTAGAAAAGCCTAATTTATCGAAATAAAATGGTGGCAGGCCTGGACATCGACCCATGTCACATTTGGTCGGCCTGTGTAATTATTGTGCTTACTGTATATCCAATTACACTTCTTTTTAACTTATCTGTCTCTTTGCCTGCCTACCTAGGATCTGGAACGAGTCTTACATAATTCCTCTTCTTAAAAAAGGTTCTCGAGTGGACATCGAAAATTACCGTGGCATTGGCAAACTATCACCTATTCCTAAACTTCTGGAACATCTTATCACTCTTCAACTACAACATTTCTGCAGTTCCATAATATCTCCTTCTCAGCATGGGTTTATCAAGCATCGATCAACGACGACTAATCTCCTTGAGTTCTCGCCCTTCATTAATCAAGGTTTTCAGCACCGTCTACAAACCGACGCACAGTGGCGCCTTTTGACTTTTTTTTTGGTAATCACTATGGACGGCAGTCCATGTAGTGACGAAGCGCACCAGGAGAGTGTGCGAAGGCGACTACTATTATATAGCCGCAAAATTGAAAATCTGCTGTGATAGTCCGATCGTAATGAGTAATACACCAATCGAAAGGTATTGCAAAAACTTAAAGGATTGCATACCAAGACTTTTAGAAAATCAATTGGCTTGGGAGAGAGAGCAGTGAAAGTGAAAAAGTGCAAATTTCGAAATTTGGAGCTGTTGGGGCCGGTGGGGATAAATGCCCCCTCGCAACAATTTTTTTGTGTTCCTATTACCCGTCGAATGAGGGGTCATATGATAAAATGCGACGCTCCGTTCAAAAGTTATAGCCAAAATAAGATTTTCTGCGTCTTCCCAAAATGAAAATTTAATTCTGTTTGTCAGTTTGTCCAAAACATGTTTTTTAAGTTTTAAAAATTTGATATGACGTTCATCACATCGATATAAAAAAATTTTGTTCTACCACTTTTGGAAAAACTCGCTAGTTTAGCGGGAAAACAGCTATAAATAGCTAAAATTCCGAAATTCCACACTACAACAGAAAACTTTTGTGTAGATATTAAATATTTGCTAAAGCGGGCCGAACGAGTAAATTTTAGGTAGCGTACTTATTTAGTCGCATCTGAAATCATTTTTCGTCACAAAAGTTGATATCAGAACTTTTGTACGTTGAAGGTGCGATCGTCACTAGTTTTTTACATCGTTAAGAGGTGTTTTTATTTGATAAATCATAACTTTTGAACCAGTGAAGATAATTGAATGATGTGAACGACAAATGATAGATAACACTACACCAAAAAAAATCGACTGAAATCGCCCTTGGTTTTAGAAAATCGCCTATGAATTTGCTTTACTGGCGATTTTGTCTATATTAAAGAAAGTAGGTTTTTAAAATAAAAGACTTTTTTCACAAAATCGAAAAAAAATAGACTGCAATTTAGAAATATTTTGCTAGAAAGTAAAAAATTATTTCTTAGAATTTAGAAAATATATATTATATATATATATATATTTATATATATATATTTTAAATATAGACAAATATTTTTTAAGTAACAAAAAAAAATTTCTCAAATTTTGTGACGCCACGGCCTTTGTGTTGTTTTTTTTTCGTTCTTGTTTGTCACCTTATTTGAATTTCCTTTAATTGAGCACATGGGTGGTTTTAAATTGGAACTCTAATAATAACGGAAATGAGTATACAAATTACAAATTATAAATATAAAAACCCAATAACTTACTATATTGAGAAAAACATCTTGGTCGCCGCACGCGGGAATCGAACCGCTAACCGCTCGCCTCACAGTTTGCAGTCAAGCACTCTACTAGCTACGCCACGGAAGCATCACGTGAGGCGCTGTACAAAGTCTATTACCATTTTGTTCTCCTATTTTTACTCAAATTGATCTGGCTCTCTTCTGGTTATTCCTTAGGTTAGGTTAGAAACGGCTGCCAGACTAACGTCTGACACACTTAGACCTCTGTGGGTCCATTGTGGTACCGTGTGATCTCTTTCCCTTATTTGGGGTCCCCTGTCTATTTTTATTTTTCCTCTCGTCCTAGAAAATTTGGATACTTAGCATGTCTTCCACCCGGAAGATTTAACGAAAGAGTTTATACTTTTAAGGTTGATCTCCGATATTTCGGTTAGATCGCTAATGAAGGGTTTTCCTAAGTGTTTCAGCCTTAGTCTGCATAGGGCTGGGCAGAAACATAGGAGATGCTCCACCGTTTCTTCCTCTTCCTCGTCTCTGCAGCTTCTGCAGAAATCATTGTACGGGGCTTTTAGCCTGCCGGCGTGTGTGCCGACTAGCCAGTGGCCTGTAAGGACTCGAACTAGCATACCGCACTCTGTGCGACTAAATTTGAGTAATTCCGATGTTTTTTTACTGTTTATCCCAGGCCAGGTCTGGTGGGTGATACGACACTGCGGTGCATTTTGCCACCTAGTGTTGGCTAGTTTGATGAAGTAGTTTTTGATATTTAGCTTGCAAGTTGCCATGGGCATACCGACACTCTCCTTTTCTGGAAGGAGAGGCATGATGGTGCCTTGCCTGGCTAACTCGTTCGCTATGCAGTTGCCTACGATGTCCCGGTGACCCGGGACCCATATTAGGCTTATAGTAGACTGACTAGCTATCTCGTGGAGAGATATGCGACAGTCTGCTATTGTTCGGGAGTTGGTGCTTGTCGAATAGATTGATTTAATAGCCGCCTGACTATCACTATATATGTTTATGTGTCTGTCTTGGGTGTTTATGTCCCTTATACAGACGAGTGCTTCTTTTATAGCATGCACTTCCGCTTGGAAGACGCTGCAGTGGTCAGGGAGTCTGAAAGACTGCCTGATCTCTAGTTCTTCGGAGTATATGCCTCCGCCGACGTGTCCGTCTAGTTTGGAGCCGTCTGTATATAAGCAGATAGCGTCTATTGTGCCCGGTCGGCCCCGATCCCATTCTTCCCTACCTGGGATCAGAGCCTCGAAGGGTGTGTGACTATATTCACGGGTTTTACATAGATCCGTTCTTGACGGTATCGATTTGTCATGCTGAAGAATTTTAGCGTGACCGTAGAGCTGGGCTTTCCATTGCCCTGTATCCCTCAGTCGAATAGCTGCCGATTTGGCCCTTTCCATGCCTGCTAAGTCCAGGCTCTGGAGGTTCAAGATCGCATTCAGCGCTTCGTTTGGGGTAGTTCGAAGGGCTCCACTGATACACAAAGCCGCCATTCGCTGTACTTTGTTTAGGGGAGTTAAGATGCATTGTTTTTGTAGAGCGGTCCACCATAGAGCCACCCCGTATAGAAGGATTGGCTTTACCACCGCTGAGTAGATCCAGTTTACAATTTTAGGGGACATGCCCCACCTTAGCCCAATTGCCTTTTTACAGGAGTAAAGTGCAATGGTTGCTTTTTTGATTCTCTCTTGGTTGTTTAGGCCCCAATTGAGCCGCTTTTCTAATACCAACCCCAGGTATCTTGCGTGTTCGCTAAAAGAGAGATTGCAGTTGTTTAGTATGGGTGGGTTGAGTGGAGGGATCTTGTACTTATTCGTAAATAGGACAAGTTCCGTTTTTGAGGGATTTACCCCGAGTCCGTTTTTTATCGTCCAGTCTGATAATATTTTTAGCTTTGCGGTCATGAGATCGCAGAGTGTTTGTGGATACTTACCATTAAAGATGATAGCGACATCATCCGCGTATGCTACTACTTTGCAGCCCCCTCCTTCTAGAATTCGCAGTAGTTTATTTACTGCGATATTCCACAGGAGGGGCGATAGTACACCTCCTTGCGGGGTGCCTCTGTTCACTAGTCTAGTCTGGGTTGAGGTCCCTAGAGCGGCCGTAACCATTCTGCTTATCAGCAGTTTATGGATCAGCCTCACCAGTTGGGCCTCCACCCCTAGTTCTGTGAGGGAGTCTGTTATTGCTGTGGGAAGCACGTTGTTGAAAGCTCCCTCTATATCTAGGAAGGCGATCAGTGTGTATTCCTTATTATTGAGTGATTTCTCAATGCTGCTTACCACGACGTGTAACGCCGATTCGGTTGACTTACCTTTGGTGTAGGCATGTTGCGCCTCTGACATTTGTGTCGGGTCGATGGTGGCTCTCAAGTGTAGGCTAATCAGTCTTTCAAAACTCTTTAACAGGAATGATGTCAGGCTTATTGGCCTGAAATCTTTTGCTGTGGTGTGGGTGGCTTTCCCTGCCTTGGGAATGAAGACCACTTTCGTTTCTCGCCATGCTGTTGGTAGTTCTCCTACTGCCAGAATGGTGTGGAAGATTTTACTAAGCCAATTTATAGCTAGCTGGCCAGCTTGTTGGATATGTGCCGGTGTTATTCCGTCTGGTCCCGGTGATTTGTATGGTTTGAAGCTCTGAATGGCCCATTTAATGTTGCGGTCTGATATGAGGAGATCTAGATTGATCTCTTCCCCGCCAATTCTTTCTGGGGGTTGGCCTATATTTTGGCTACCTGGGAAGTGAGCATCTAGAAGTAGGTCTAAGGACTCGTCGCTTGAGTCTGACCAGGATCCATCTGCTTTCTGGAGATAGCCTAAGGGCGCGGCTGTCTTGGAGAGTATTTTCCTGAGCCTTGCAGCATCAGTCGTTTTCTCTATGTCAGAGCAGAACGTTTGCCATGCAGTACGTTTTTCTCTTCTAATGGCCTTTTTGTACAAGGCTAGTTCTAGCTTGTAATGCTGCCAGTTTGCGTCCTCATTTCCTGCCTTTGCTCTGTTAAACAGGCATCTGCAGTTTGATCTGAGGATTGATAGTTGTTGGGTCCACCAGGTGGGTTTTTTCTTCCCTCTTGGTTTCCCTATGGGGCATGCGACTTTGAAGGCCGAGTTGCATGCTTCTGTGAAAGTTTCTACTGTTGTATCTAGCCCTTGTGGGCTTATAATGTTTTCTGGCGGTATCATGGGTAGGATATTCGTCAGAACTTCTTTGTACATGTGCCAGTCGGCCCGTCTAGGATTTGCGAAACCAACCGGCATGGGTGAATCAAGGGACAATATTATTTCTATGTATCTATGGTCAGAGAAGGAGTGTTCGTCTGAGACGAACCAGTTTGTGACTGCACTTACCAGTAAATCTGATACCAACGTTAGATCTATGATCGTTTGGCATGCCTTGGTTATGAAGGTGGGGACATTTCCCCTATTACATAAGAATAAGTTCGAGTTAAGAATAAAGTCAAAGAGAGACTCACCTCTGTCGTTGTTGTTTGGGCAACCCCACTGGGTGTGATGGGCGTTGGCGTCGCAGCCTATTACCAAACCTGTCTTGAGCTCTTCGCATTCCTTTGCCAGTCCTCTGACTAGCGCGTCTGGGGGGTCTTCCTTTTCGAAGGCCATGTAGGCCGATAGCAGCCTAACGGAGCCGTGCTGCAGCTCCAGGCTTACTGAGGTGTTATCTCCGTTGCTGTAATTGCGAAGCAGAAATATATTTAGGTGCCTTTTGGCCAAAATGCAGGTTCGAATTTTACCTTCTTTGGGGTCAAGCATTAGCTTATACTCTCTCGTTCCTAGTCCAGCAACCTTGCCTCCTACTACCCAAGGTTCCTGTACTAGGACCACGTCGGCTTCGCCCTTGGCCAGGCGAAGCGATAGGGCAGCGGACGCTGCCTTACTGTGATGAAGGTTTATCTGTAGGAGTCTTAGCGACATCCCCAGTTTTGACCTCCACCACCGTAACGTCGGCCTCCGAGTCGCTCAGGTCCACCTCGTCGATTGCCGGTCCCAACGCTCGCATTTCCCTGCTAAGCGAGGAATCGGTGGAATAGCCGTCCTCCGGCCCTCCAGGTGCTTCTACTTCCTCGGCAAGCACCTGTTCGGCAAGATTGCCCGCGGAGCTTCCGGCAGCGTTTGAGTCGCCCTTGTAGATTTTCATCTGCACTGCGCTAAAACCGAAGTTCAGCTTGCCCCGAGCCGCTTCTATTGGGGCAACTGACTCCTTGTTCAGGACCATAACCGCCTGGTTAACGTCTCCTTCGTGCTCCTCCACCTTGACGACTCTCCAGTCCTTCGTAGGGAGGTGCGGATTGCAGACTTGCAGCATGTAGAGGATGTCCTCCGGGGCCTTCATAGCTGCTGGAAGCCAGATCCGGGCTCGGGGCCTACTAGGGACGTCGCACCAGTCAAGTGCGACTATATTCGCCCCCTCGTAGACCGCACCGAGCTTACTTGCCGCCTGTTTGTATAGATCAGCCGACCGCTTACTATCGCAGGCTACCACTTTGACGCTGCCTTGGTACCATCCCGCGTCCATGCAGCAGGGCGGAGAGCATGGGTTTTCGCGGACCATGCGCAGGCATATTATGGACAGGTGGGACTCCACTGCTTTCCACTTGTTTCTGGGGATCCGTCCTTCTGCGTTTCCCTTATCGATAAGACCGAGTAGGACTCGATCCTTGGTGATCTCCGCGAAGGAGACAGAGGGCTGGACCTTTGATCTCTTCGCCGCAGGTCCGGGTAGCTCGAGGGATCGTTGCCGCTTCGTCTGAGCACCTTCTTGTGTGGGCTTATCCTGCCCATAGTTGGGAAGCACCAATTTTGCCCACTCTACCTTCTTCAGCCATTCTGGCGAAGGTGTGGCAATGTTGCTTCTCGCATGTGAGCGCAGAGTCTGAGCGGCAGTCCTCCTTTCTGCGTAAGTGTACTTAATTGCACCAGTGGTTGGCCCGATCGCCTTGGCAGTGCCTACCGTTGCCGTTGGTGCTATCGCATCTGTGGCGGACGTATCGGCAGCCGGCTTTCTGCCACCCGTCATCCCCAATTTGGGATGCGGCCCTTTCTGGACCGTGCTGGTGTGAGTGTTGGAGCCAGTGCTCGGCGTTTCTGTGGGTTTTTTGAGAGTTCCCGTCTCTTGTTTTTCTTTGTTATTTGTTGATTTGTCCATAATAAATCCCACGAGTTGCGGAGAAGGGGAAAGGTCCACCCGGGCAGAGATCCGCGATGCCCGGGTAAGGCGATAGTTAGAACAGGGGGTCGCCATATCCCTGAGCTCACCGTTCAAGACTGGGCTAGTTTTTGATCCGGGCCCCCAGCCAGGTTGACTCTTGGCACGGTCCGAATTACACCGTAGTCCGGCCCGGAGTGAGATGTTGTTTGGGAGAGGGAGGGGGTAGGTAGTGTGTAGGGTATAGGGTTTGTGTAGAGCAATTATTTAGATGTGGCTGAACAAATCGCATCGTCGGTACTGCTCCGATGCAGAATACCCGCTGGTTGTCCGGGACTGATTATTTGCTGGGGCTTCCGTCCACGATTCCATGGTTTTACTTCCACCACCAGCTTATTCACAGTTAACCTCCAGAAACTAGAGGTCGTTCGCTATCCGCAACCTGCGACCCGCTCGGTGGCCCCAGCTAGGCGGCTTCAGAACCATCTCACCAGTTCTTCAGGCCGAGTGGTTATTCCTTTTAGTTGTTCATTTAATTTTGCTTTTAAATACACTGTGCAACATTTTTAGGGTTATAAAATGTAACCGCAATTCTGATTTAATGGGCGGAAAGAACTCATCGAAATAAGCTAAAACCCATTTGGGTTTCTCTGGCTTAGTTCGCGTTTACCTATTATAGCGAGTTAAAGTTTTACATACAAAATTTATTTGTAACGGCCATATCTTGTGAACCGATTAAAATTTCACTGTCAAGTCTTCAGTGATTATGTAGCTATGAACTCAAGGAAAATAAATATACAAATAAAAATACACTTAGCGGGTTAAAAATCGAAAAATTAGGCAAATTTGTTTTTTAACGCGCTAGGTGCACTAGGTGCTAAGTGCGCAAGAGTCATTTGTCAATTTAGTTCCTTGGGTTCATAGCTACATAATCACTAAAGACTTGATAGTGAAATTTTAATCGGTTCACAAGATATGGCCGTTACAAATAAATTTTGTATGTAAAACTTTAACTCGCTATAAAAGGTAAACGCGAGCTAAGCCAGAGAAACCCAAATGGGTTTTAGCTTATTTCGATGAATTCTTTCCGCCTATGAAATCAGAATTGCGGTTACATTTTTCATGTTGCACTGTGATATTTATTGATTAATATTAATATTTATATATTTATTATGGTTCAATAGTAACAGTAATTGAATGTTTCAAATTTGAAAAACTTAAACATCATTTTTATCAAAATATAATTATTCATGAGCTAAAAAAAAATGCAATACATTTTTATACCCTTGTAGAGGGTATTATAATTTCAGTCAGATGTTTGCAAAGCAGTGAAGGAGACGTTTCCGACCACATAAAGTATATATATTCTTGATCAGCACCAATAGCCGAGTCTATCTAGCCATGTCCGTCTGTCCTTCTGTCCGTCTGTCCGTTTCTATGCGAACTAGTCTCTCAGTTTTAAAGCTATCGCGATGAAACTTTCCCGAAAGTCGTCTTTCTATTGCAGGTAGTACATATGTCGGAGCGAGCCGGATCGGACCACTATATCTTAAGGCTCCCATAGGAATATTCAAACAAATATAAGAAAATTGATGCAATTCTGCAAGGGTATATAAGCTTCGGCTGGCTTAAGGTAGCTTCCTTTCTTGTTATACCCTTGCAGAGGGTATTATGATTTCAGTCAGAAGTTTGCAACGCAGTGAAGAAGACGTTTCCGACCCCATAAAGTATATATATTCTTGATCAGCATCACAAGACGAGTCGATCTAGCCATGTCCGTCTGTCCGTCTGTCCGTCCGTCCGTCCGTCTGTCCGTCTGTCCGTCTGTCTGTTTCTACGCAAACTAGTCTCTCAGTTTTTGAGCTATCGGGATGAAACTTTTCCAAAAGTCTTCTTTCTATTGCAGGTAGTATATATGTCGAACCCGACCGGATCGGACAACTATTTCTTATAGCTCCCATAGGAACGATCGGAAAAAAAAAGTTAAAAAATTCTAGCTTCGGTGTTTTTTCAAGTATTACCTTCTACTCTTGGGAATATTATTTTTTATATATTTCTGAATTTCGAATTAAATATTTTAAAAATCGGATCACTATATCATATAGCTGCCATAGGAACGGTCGAAAAATTAAATGGAAATTAATAGGAAAACAAATTATATCTTTGTCTTCTACTCTGGGATATG